ACCAACTAATCTGTTTTCAGTTCCTATAACTTTGTGCTCTTGAGGAAGTCACATTAACAGAATCATACAATGTGAAATCTCTTGAGTTTGGCTGCTTTTACTCAGTTTAGATGTCTGAGACATGTGTATGGTTTTTTGTTTTGTTTTGTTTTGTTTGGTGGGGGGATGGTTTGGCTTTGGAGCATAGGAGGAACTTAGTTCCTGGACCTGGGACTGAACCTGTGTCCTAGGCAGTGAAAGCACAGAGTCCTAGCTGCTGAGCTGCTGAAAAATTCCCTATGGCCATGTTGTGTTTGGCTTTCCTAGTGGCTCAGTGGAAAAGAACTTGCCTGCTGCTGCAGGAGCCGCAGGTTCAATCCCTGGGTCAGGTAAGATCCCCTGGAGTAGGAAATGGCAACCCACTCCAGTATTCTTGCGAGGAGAATCCCATGGACAGAGGAGCCTCGTGGGGCTACAGTCCATGGGGTCGAAAAAGAGTTGGACAGGACTTAGTGACTAAACAACATCAACAAATGTTGCATGTATCAGTAGTTGTTCCTTTTTACCATCGAGTTGTATTCCATCATATGGATGGAACACAGTTTGTTTATCCTTTCACTTGATAATGGACATTTGGGTTGCTTCCAGTTCGGGATAGTTATGTATAAAGCTACTATGAGCTATCTTATTCAGACCTCTGTGTGGGTGTTCATTTTCTACTGTATGTTTTACTTCTTTTTTTGATTATAGTTGAATTACTCTACTGTAATTTTAATTTAATTTTACTTTTATTTTGGGATATAGTTGAGTTACTGTATTTTATTTCTACACCAAAACGTGTGAGTCCTACTTCACACTCTGAAGTAGGGGTCAGGCTGTTTTGTTCTGGGCAAACCGGCAAGGCAGATAACATCTTTCCTGCAAAGTTGCGACATCAACTTAACCGACATCGCGCCATCGTTCTCTCCTGTTTGTTTCTGGATTCCCTCTGGATGTTTTCCTGGAGCCAGGGTCATGCTGTGTGGATGACTGTGCATTTTGCTGTTTGGTCAGGCAGGTGTTACCTCACTGTTCAGGAGTCTTGACCTCAGAGGCTGTTGAGGAGGGCGGGTATGACCTGACTGACTCTTCACTGACAGCCAACTGGCTGGGTGAGGGTGCCGGTGCCAGGCCCAGCACTTGGTGTGAGAGGTGGAGTTCAGAGTTGACAATATCCATGATAGTTGCATCAGACGCAGTTGGTCGGGAAGAGAGGGATGAGGTGAAGCTCTGTGACTATGACCTTAAGGATTCTGCCATCTTATTTTCTGTAATTGACAAGGCAGCTTTCCAACCATGGCCGCGTGCTGGTAGATGTTTTCCCCCACCCCAAGCTGGGTGGAAGTCCTCTCTGAGGGCATGTGTCCACCCTACCTTGTTCCTTCGGGTGCTCCTTGGGTTGGCTCAGGACGTGGGCCTCCATGAGTGGCAAAAGTACTCGGCCCTTGTGGAGGAAGGGGACCAGTTCTCCTTCCCACCTGGGTCAGCTTGGATGCGTCACTTCTTCTTTCCGTTCTTTGGGCCCTGTGAACAGGGATGTTGGGCTAATTCCACACCCTGGGCCCTGCAAACAGGGACACGAGGCCGACTTCTGATTCAGACTCCTGCCTGCCTGGAGTCTCTGAGTCAGTGAGGAGAGGCAGGGTAGCTGTGAGCTGCCTTGACTGTCCTGGTTAAGACGGAGGGTCTGCTACTTCCTGAGCAGGACTTTGGGCACCTGACTTAATCTGTCAAGCTTCTGTCCCCTGAGAAGCCGGGATACTGCTGGCCCCTTTCCTCCTGGGTCAAGATTAGAAGCGATGGTGTGTTTTTTGTTCTTTTTTTTCCAGCCACACCATGAGGCATGTGGTATTTCCCCCAACCAGAGAGCAAACTTGTGCCCCCTGCACTGGGTCTTAACTACAGAACAGCCAGGGTAGTCCTGGAATGGTGTTTTTTTGTTTTTTGGCATAGAACTTGGCTGGTAGTAATGCCAGCTGGAAGGAACTCAGCGTTGGCATTTTTTTTCTCAGGGTTGGTATTTTGGTAAGACAGTTTTGCTTAATTTTTTTGAAAGATTTTTTTTGATGTGGACTATTTTTAAAGTATTTAATTTGCTTCTGTTTCGTGTTTTTTTTTTTTTTTTTTTTTNTTAGCTCCCTCTCCAGAGACCAAACTTCCACCCTTGCATTGGAAGGGCAAAGTCTTAATCGCTGAACTATCAACGAAGTCCCCAGCTTTGCTTAATTTTAGTAATAACACATGTGTACGTGTGTGTGTATGTTCAGTTGTTCAGTTCTTTGTGACCCCATGAACTGCCCCACGCCAGGCTTCCCTGTCCTTCACCATCTCCTGGAGTTTGCTCAAACTCATGTCCATTGAGTCAGTGATGCCATCCAACCATCTCATCCTCTGTCACCCCCTTCTCCTCTTGCCCTCAATTCTTCCCAGCATCAGGGTCTTTTCTAATGACTTGGTTCTTTGCATCAGGTGGCCAAAGCTTCAGCTTCAGCATCAGTCCTTCCAAGTAACACATGTAATAAATTCATTAATACTGATTGCTACAGAGTAGCAAATGTAAGATGCCATTTCCCAAATAATTGGGTCCCTGGCCCATAGAAGCTGAAGTGGGTGGTGACGGTGAGTCAAGATAGTAGTTCCTGCGACTGGCTGGGTCAGGCTGTTTGTGGGTTGGTTTTAGTCAACTGAGAAGCCCACAGGGGAACTAAGTGCATTTCTCTGCAGCTTTCGGTTCAGGGTGAGCATTTTGCTTTCAGCATTCTTTAGCAGGAACAGGCTCTGAAATAATTCTGGAAGTTTTCCCCCGTACATACTTGCGCAGATGTACAAAAGCATGGGTCCGGGGATGTCCAAGGTGGCTGTGCTGGTGAGAAGGAAGGACTGAAAAAGATTTCTATAGGCCCCTGTGAGGAGCTGGTGACACAAGGCAGAAAATCCGTGGCTGTCAAAAAGCAGGGCAATCTTCCTCTTAGGAGTGTATGTTGTTTATTTTACAATCATTTCTGCATACATAGGAAATAAATGTGCAGGCTCATTTATGGCAGCATGATTTGAGGACTGCAGAATTATTGGAAGCCATCTGGGCACACCTTGGTAGATGGCTGTTTAGACAGACAATGGGGCCAGGCACTATGTGGGGCCTCTGTAGCAGCAGAAATAAGCTCCCCAGAGGGCCGGTGGGCAGATCTCCAGATAGATACAACAGGCAGAAAGAGCAAATTGCAAAAGAGAACCTTTGCAGGTGCAGGAAATGCTTGTTTCTTGATTGCGGCATTGGGTTTGGGAGTGTGTGCCTTTGTCTAAACTTACTGAACTGCACACTTTTAAAATGTGTCTGTGAGAACTCAGTGAAGTTGATTTAAAAAAGAAAACAAAATCAAAACCAAAAGAGCAAGGTGCAAAGACTTCCCTGGTGGTTCAGTGGTGAAGTCTGCATGGCCCCACTGCAGAGGCACGGGTTCGATCCCCTGGTAGATCAGCTGGTTTAAAAATCCTCCTGCAATGCAGGAGACCCCGGTTCGATTCCTGGGTCGGAAACTTCCCCTGGAGAAGGGATAGGCTACTCACGCCAGCATTCATGGGGTTCCCTTATGGCTCAGACGGTAAAGAATCTGCCTGCAATGCAGAAGAACTGGGTTCAATCCCTGGGTTGGGAAGATCCCCTGGAGGAGGCATGGCAACCCTCTCCAGTGTTCTTGCCTGGCGAATCCTCATGGACAGAGGAGCCTGGTGGGCTACAGTCCATGGCGTTGCAAAGAGTCAGACACAACTAGGCATAGCTCTTTGTCAGGCAAGATCCCGCATGCCTTGAGGAACAGCCAAAAAAATCAAACACACAAAAACTAAAAATGCAAGGTGAAGATAAATGGGAAAGATGAGAAAAAACATTCAGGTTTGCCTTTATTTGCACACAGAAATCCTCGAAGGAAGCCCAAGATGTTTGTAAAAATACTGTTTTTCTAGAAAGGTGGAGGAACAAACATGAGGTGGCTGAGATAGTTTCCTTTTCTACAAAGTTTAGATTTTAGAACCGTATGACTAGCACTGATCCCATGTTGAAATGAGCAAAAAAAAAAAAATGTTCTGATATGAACATTGGACTTGTGGCTAGATAGAATGCATGCAGAACTGAGTCTATGTGGAGATGCTCTTTGTGAAAAAGGGGAGTTTTTTTTTTTTTATTATGGAAGGAAAGAACACTAGAGGAGGAAGCTTGTTTCATGTTGTACCCTTCTATTTGGTGGGTTTTTTTTTTTTTTTTTCAATTATTTGGCTGCATAGAATCTTACTGAGGCACTCAGGATCTTGCTGGGTAGTTGTGAGTGCAGACTTAGTTGCTCCACAGCATGTGGGGTCTTAGTTTCCCCACCAGAGAGCGAACCCATGTCCCCTGCACTGGAAAGCAGATTCTTCTTTTTTTAATTTTTATTTTGAATCCGGGTATAGCCACTGAACAATGTTGTGATAGTTTCAGGTGAACAGTGAAGGAACTCGGCCATACGTATACATGTATCCATTCTCCCTCAAACTCCTCTCCCGTGCAGGCTGACACAATATTGATCAGAGTTCCACAGTAGGTCCTTGTGGTTATCCATTTTAAATACAGTAGTGTGCACATGTCCTTCCCAAACTCCCTAACTATCCTTTCACCCCTGGCAACCATAAGTTCTTTTTCTAAGTCTGTGAAACTCTTTCTGTTTTTTAAGTTCATGTGTATCATTTTTTTACTACACATTTAAGGGATGTCATATAGTATTTCTCCTCGCCTGACTTAGGAACGCAGATTCTTAACCACTGGACCACCAGGAACTTAAGTACCTGTTTGGCCTTAAAATCGTACTCATGGATGAGGCCAGTCGGTTACAGATGAGACTAAGAGATGAAGGTGCAGAGTGAGGATGGTGGGGGAGCCCCAACCTTTCCAACCCCATGTATTGCATCTTGCCAGGAAGTTAAGGAAAGAGACGCTCACAGCACACATGTTCAGCCTTTGCAAGTTTTTCTTTTATTGTCTATTCGGCAGTGACAGAAGGATGCCTGATCCAGGGGAAAGCTCTGCCTTCCTCCCTCCTTGCCCCTCAATGCCCGGAACTCAGGCTGGGCGAGCCCGGTCACGGGGCCTGGCACTCTGGCCCAAACATGTGTCCATGTTTCTTTCAGACACGGGCATCTATGTCACAAGTTCCTCATCTGCCCTTCTCTTTCCTGCTCTGCCTTCACACCACGGGCTCCTGAGAAAGCCTGCCCATGGGCAGGGGGAGTAGGGAGGGGGTGTGTGTGTGTCCCAGAGGGGCCCACCCACCCACCGGCAGGGAGGCGCCGTCTCACTCAGGCCCCAGCATGGAGCCCGCGGCGGTGGTGATGCTCGGACCTGGCTCGCCTCGGCAACCTGGTCTTGAAGAGGGACTTGCCCGAGGCTTCAATGTAAGTGACGCTCATCTCCTTGGGGCTGATCTCTACGTAGGCGAAGCCACCCAGTGAGTTCTCGGCCCCGTAGTGGAAGCGCAGGTAGCCACTGGGGACTTTGCGCGTGTGCTTCTTTGAGGGGTCCATGAAGTTCCCGGCCCCGCTCAACACGAAGCCCAAGCCGTTCTCATCCTGAAGGTACTGTGGACAGAAGACACAGGGTCAGTGGAGCCCCCAGCCCCTCAGTTAGGCAGACTGTGGACTGGGTACCCACCTGTCTTGGGTGCAGGCTCAGGTCTGCACTTCACCAGAGTCACCTTGAGCAAGGAACATAACCCCGGCCCCCCACCTCATGCCACCCCCGCCAAGTCTCCAGTTTCTTCACCTCTGGGAGCATGTTGATCTGGGGAAGCAACTGGCAACAGGGATCCCTGGGAGGGCTTTTGGGGAACTTTGGGCTGTGTTCTGGTTAGCAAGCATAGAGTTTGAGGGATAGTGATAATTGAGAGGGCCCCAAATAGGAGGGGAACTCCCAGACGGCTCTGGTAAAGAAGCCTCCTGCCAACGCAGGAGATGGGATTCGATCCCTAAGGCGGGAGGATTCCCCTGGAGGAGGGCATGGCAACCCTCTCCAGTATTCTTGCCTGGAGAATCCCATGGACAGAGGAGCCTCGCGGGCTACAGTCCACGGAGTTGCAAAGAGTCGGATATGACTGAGCACACACACACGAACAAGAGGACCCCCAATGCCACCCCACGTGGCACACCGGCCAGGCTAGGGACGTCCTCCCCTTACCAGGGCCCCAGGCCACCCTGGGGACCCTCACCTGCAGGTTGTGGTCGTGGCCACACAGGTAGGCGGTGACCTTGTGCGCGGTCAGCAGCGGCAGCAGCTGCTTGACCAGGCAGTGGGTGGGCCCGTGCTCGGCGATAGACCACACAGGGTAGTGGCCGGCCACCAGCACGTAGTCCTCCTTGGCCGCTGCCAGCTGCTTCTTGAGCCAGGCCAGCTGCGTGCGGGCCATCGCCAAGTTGCGGGGCCTCTCGGGCTGCTGGCTGGCAAAGTCGTCAGAGTTGCCGCATAGGGTCACAGTGTCCAGCATGAAGATGGCCACGGACACGTTGGACCGGGGGATCTTGAAGCGCAGGCGGTAGTAAGGGCTGGGGAACTTCCTGCAGATGGTTCAGAGAAAGGGGTAGGTGTCCATCTCGGGCGGAGACGCCCCGGGCTCAGCTCTGGTTGATCGGCCTCTTTGCCCCCGGAGGGAGGAGGCTGGTACGGGGTGGGAAGGAGAGGCAGGAGGGGGCAGGCTCACCAGCGCTTGGAGACCCTGGAGTAGGCGATCTGTGCTGAGACGTTCCCCAGATGGTCATGGTTGCCAGCCAGCACGTACCAGGGCACGGTGCGGAGCGGGGAGGCAGAGAACACAGCCTCGAAGGTCTCCTGCAGCAGAGAGAAGGGCGGCACCCAGCTCAGGTTCAAGCAGCCACTGGCTGCTCCCACCAACTCGAGGAACAACTCCCACCAGGAACGAGGGAACTGTGCGTGCTCGGCGTCTGCAACCATCATGTTGCTCTGCCCTCTCCAGTAAAAGGTCTAGAGGCTTCTCCATGCATCGCCCTCCCCCCACCCCCGCCACTCCAGTGGCACACACCTGAAACCGCTTGTCGTTGACATCCTGCACACCACTGAAGTAGAAATTGTCTCCCAGGGACAGAATGAAGTCTGCGCCCAGGATCTGCACTGTCCTGGCAATCTCTTTGGCATTGGCCATTTCCCGTGCTGTGTAGAATGGGGCGTTGGGGACCCCTCCCCAGTCACCCACAGCGACGAAGCGCAGCATGGGAGTGGGTGTGCTGGCGGCAGCGGCAGCCCGGGGGAGCACCAGCGAGGCTTGCAGGATGAGCAGAACCGTCCACATGTCCATCTGGGAGGGGAGAGACGGGCGTCTGGGGCTTGGGCAGCAGGCCACCCTGAGACCCGCCACTGGCCCCGTTCTGGGAGGGGAAGACATGGGCTCCCTGCAGGGCTGGCTTGGTGCTCGAGTTCCCAGGGCTTCAGGGCAAGAGCTGGCTGGGAGGGTCAGTGGGCGGGCAAGCAGGATCCAGCCGGCAGGGTGGGGAGGGCTGGGTGTGCAGGGGCCCAGCACTCACCCTGGGGGAGGAACAAGCCAGTTGCCTGAGGGCTCAGAGAGGCAGGTGAGCTCCAGTGCAGAGCGGCGGGGCGCGAGCCTTTATTTCCTGGGGGGCGGAAATGGATCATTAGAGAGGATGAGGCAGTTTCTCCAGGAGCCCTCCCCTTGGGTCATGTGAGCCTGGGAGCTAGTTCCCCAGCGCTGGCCACGGGATTCGAGGTGGGGTCTGGCACTCCAGGGCAGCCCCCGTGTTTGCCCAGCGGAGCACGTTTGTGTCCTGGGCCCTCTGAGTGTGCAGCAAGCTCGATCGGTGCACCCCTCCCAGCCAGCCACCCACCCTGTGTCCGCGTCCTCAGTGGACGTGTTTGTCTGCCCACGTCTGGGTGTGTCTGCGCTGTTATCTGCGTGTAGCCGAGCGTGCCTGCCTCGGTCACATGCCTGCTCTGTGCTTGTCCCATGTTCCCATGGCGGTGGACACAGCCACCGGCAGGGCCCTGTGCCCGAGCCCTCAAGTGGAACTGGGTGTGGGGGACGAGACCGGTGTGTCCCCGCCTCGCACCCCAGTCCAGCGCATGTGTGTGTTGTGTCTCTCGGCTGAGTTGTGGGTCCGGTGTGTGAGGTGTGTGTGAAACATCCGAAGTGAGCCCCAATCCCAGGGTCACCCCCCCTTCCCTAAACAGCAGGGGCCTCCGTTTCCAGGAAGTCCAGCCCACATCTTCCCCTCTGCCTCACCCACTCCTATTCCTGCAGGAGGAACCCAGGCAGGAGGGAGCTGGTGACCAGCCGTGTAACCACAAGCTTTTGACCCTCACACCCTCGGCCGCTGCTCTTGAGGCTTGTCTGACCTGCCCCTCCCCTCCCTGCCTCCCTTCTCCCCGGCCCCCTGGATCCACGGACCCGTAGGCACTCACGGTGGCTCTCTACAGCCCCTTGCGACGGTGGATGGGGGTCCCCATCCCCAGGCTTGAGGACACAGGCTGGCTGCTTGCTCCCCCCACTCCTGACCCCACAGCCTAGATAAACAGGAAGTGGGTCACGAGGTTAGGCGGAGACCACTCCCCCGGGTGGAGGCCTCCGGTCTACACCCGCCGGGCGGTCTCACCTGCAGTCGGTGGGGCCCGGGGTCAAGGCCGGGCGCGGCTGAGCGAGCCGAGCTGCGGGAACGCCCGGCGCTCGCCGTCGGGGCTGCCCGGGCTTAAAGGACGCGGCGGCCGGGGGCGGCCCAGGTGATCCCCGGTGGCCGGAAGCGCTGGAGCCTGGACCTCCTGGCCCTGCCGGCCGCACCCGGGGATCCCGCGTCACCACGCCTCCGGGGTGCAGGCAGCGCTTCTGTAACTGGGGGTGACGCACTGCACCCCGGAGGACGGCCCATACCCGGCCAACTGCACTGCAGCTCGGCCGGGGAGAGTGACTTGGGGTCCCGGTTTCCATCCCCTGCCCCCCGCAACGCAGGCATAATCTCCACCCTTGGGACCTACACACTTTGGGTGCCAGGGCCTCCCTATCGCAGCGCTGGGTGGGGTGGCAGTCCAGTACTGACCCTCGAGGGAGGATGTCTGTCGTCTTCAATCTCAGTTTCCTGGTCTCTGAACTATGCGTGAGGGCAGAGAGTTCACTCTTCCTTAGATGTGCAAATAATTTACCTTGAAACACTCTCCAGAAGCTAGGGCACAACCCTTCCCGCCTCCTTTTGAAGCTGGTGGTGGTTATTCTGTCACTAAGTCCCACTCTTTCCAACCTTAGGGACTGCAGCCTGCCAGGCTCCTCCAACCAAGGAATTTTTCAGGCAAGAAGACTGGAGTGGGTAGCCATTTCCTTCTCCAGCGGATCTTCTTGATGGAGGGGTGGAACCCGAATCTCTTTCCTCACCTGCATTGGCAAATGGATTCTTAACCAACTGCACCACCTGGGAAACCCACTGTACAGAAAACCTGCCTAGAACTCTGCAAAAATGGCCCAGTCATGAAAAAGCAAACTTTGAAGCGCTGTGGGCTTCCCTGGTGGCTCAGATGGTAAAGAATCTGCCTGCAATGCAGAAAACCTGGGCTGGATCCTGGGTCAGGTAGATCCCCTGGAGAAGAGAATGGCTACCCACTCCAGTATTTTTGCCTGGAGAATTCCTTGGACGGAGGAGCCTGGCAGATTATAGTCCATGGGGTCCCTAAGAGTTGGACACGAGTGAGTGACTAACATGTTCCACAGACTGGAGGAGAGCCAAGAAATGGGAGGACAAACTGAACATGGGGATCTTGGGCCAGAAAAGGGGTACTTATGGAAAATCTGGTGACATTCAAAGTTTTGTGAATAGTAACACAACTAAGAAACAATCCTGGAGTGGTTACAGGTGTGACATGTACAGGATGCTAGTCACTGAGGCAACAGTGAGATGTATGTTGCACTCTTTGCGCTGTTTTAAAAAATTTTCTTTTTGCAATTTTCCTGTAAATCTAAAGTTATGCCAAAATAAAAAAGTTGACTTTGAAAACAGGTGTGATCCAAGAAACTTAAACGTTGATTCAGCGTGCGTTGAACACCTGCTATATGCCCAGTACCCAACAGACACAGCAGGGAACAAGACAGATCAGGAAAAACCTGCTCTGCTGGGCCCCAAGTGCTGGTGAAATTTATATTCTAGCTGTTAATTACTTCCATTCTTTGGGGGTGGGGTGGGGCATTCTCTTTCCATTTTATACTTTCTGTGCTGTTTGCTGTGCTCACTCACTCAGTCAAGACCAACTCTTTGGGACCCCAGGGACTATAGCCTGCCAGGCTCCTCTGTCCATGGGATTTCCCAGGCAAGAATACTGGAATGGGCTACTGTTTCTTATTCCAGGGGATCTTCCCAACCCAGGGATCGAACCCATGTCTCCTGCATCTTGCACTAGCAGCTGGATTCTTTACCACTATGCCACCTGGGAAATCCATACTTTCTGTACTGTTTGGATTTTTGCTTGAAAAGTGCTTAGTTATTTTCCCAGTAGAATAAAAGCAGACTTCCTCCTAGCATATCTGCAGTCTGAATGTACACACAGGAAACAAAGACCTCACTCCAGATTCAGGGAAGTGGTTGTTTTTCTGGGAAGACAGGGAAGGGAATGGAATTGGGGCTCAGGGATAAGGAGGGTTGTCCAGAAAAGGGGCTTCAAATTTATCCCTACTGTTTCCTTTCACGAAAAAGGAAAACAAAATGATCGGAAGCAATTAGAATCCACTGTTAAATTTGGTTCTTCATGTAGCAGGTCTGCGGTGTTGGAAGGATTATCTTCTATGCTTTCTGTATTTTTTGAGATCACACAAAACTATAATATTTGTTATCCTATTGTATTACATGGTCTTTGTAGACACATCAGAAAATCCTGAAAAGCACAAGGGAAATGATTACACCCATCTGCCTAGAGAGTCACTATTCAGTAATTTTTTAAAATTAATTTTTCTCTGCCTACATTTTTTCTTCTGAAGAATGGGATGCCACTGATACCATTTTTTGAGGGGCTTCGCTGTGTGACATGTGGGGATCTTAGTTCCTGGACCAGGGATCAAACCCATGCCCCCTGCAGTGGAAGCTCAGAGCCCTTCCCTGGACCACCAGGGAAGTCCTATTGATATCATTTTTTGACCTTGTCAAATGTTAACATTTTCTGTATCTTTTAGTTTTTTTTTGCTTTTTTAAAAGGTTTTAAAATAACATTTATTTCTTAAAAGTTAACATGCACCAAAATATTTTTCTGTACCTTTTAAATAAAAAAAGTACAGAAGCACATGCACATGAAATAAATCAGGCTTTGTGTAGAGTGTAATGAAACTTGCGACTCCTCAGTTAGGTCTTTCAGGTCACCTCTGGGCTTCCGAGCAAACTCCGCTCTGTTCACTCCAGGGAACCCAGTTCTGGTTCTGATTGTCTGTGGAGGTGGATCAGGGTTTGGCCCTGAGCCTCCTTCCCCATCCACTCCCCCCTTGCTTCCCAACAGCAACGTCAGTCCCATGGCTGAGTTCCTCCCTGCCCTCCCCCGCCTGCTCTGCCTCAGCTCCGATCACTCTTCTGGCCTCTCACCCTCCCTTCCTGGAACAGGAGCCCTGGCTCTGACCTCAGGGCCTTGGCACTTGCTGTTCCATTTTCGTAGAAGATCCCTCCTTCTCCAGCTACCCCTGTGGCTGCCTCCCTACTGTATTGAAGTTCTTTTAACTCATCTAAAAAGCACCCCTCCCACCCCCATCCCGAATCCCTCTTATCCTGCTGTAGTTTTATCTGCAGCCCTTATCGCTGTCTGTTGACCACACTCTGCTTATCTTGTTTTCAGTCTGTCTCCCCAGACGAATGAGGTCTGAGGTGATAAGAACTGTCTCGGCCAGTCGTGTTTGCTGCTGTTTCTCTGGCATCTAGAATCTGGGGCCCACATGCAACTCCTGAGGAATTATCAGTGGAAAGGTGGAAGGAGGGGACACCTTTGCACAACATGTTTTTACCTCCAGTCTGAATGTGCAGCCTGCCCAAACCTTCCTGGTTTCACCTACCACTAACCACCCCACTCACCACCAGGGCTGCCAGGGTGGCTCAGATGGTAAAGAATCTCCCTGCAATGCGGAAGACCTGGGTTTGATCCCTGGATTGGGAAGATCCCCTGGAGGAAGGCATGGCAACCCCCTCCAGTATTCTTGCCTGGAGAATCTCCATGGACAGAGGAACCTGGCTGGCTACAGCTCATGGGGTGGCAAAGAGTTGGACATGACTGAGTGACACAGCAAAGCACATTACAACCACCCCTTTACAGCTTGCTTCATCTAAACATTTTTTTTGCCCAAGGTGCACGGCATGTAGGATCTTAGTTCCCCGACCAAGGATCAAACTCGCACTGCCAGTGTTGGAAGCACATGGAGTCTTAACCAACTGGACCGCCAGGGAATTCCCAAATGTTGTTGCTGTTTTTCATAATGCAGGACTCTTGGAAATACGTCACTGTCTGCATCTCCTTCCTGTCTGGGCCACAGGGCACAAGTCACACTAAAGACAGTGTATTGGAGAAGACTCTTGACAGTCCTGTGGATTTGATCCAGAGTCCTGGATCAAACCAGTCAATCCTAAGGGAAATCAGCCCTGAATATTCATTGTAAGGACTGGTGCTGAACTTGAAACTCCAATCCTTTGGCCACCTGATGTGAAGAGGTGACTCACTGGAAAGACCCTGATGCTGGGAAAGATGGAGGGCAGGAGGAGAAGGGGATGACAGAGGATGAGATGGTTGGATGGCATCACTGACTCAATGGACATGAATCTGAGCAAATTCTGGGAGATAGTGAAGGCCAGGGAAGCCTGGCGTGCTGCAGTCAGTGGGGTTGCAAAGAGTCAGACATGACTTAGTGACCAAACAGCAACAACAAATTCCTACTTCAGGGCCTTTGCACTTGCTGTGCCTTCCTCTGGCCCACTCTCTGCTCACCTTCTTGTCCTTGAGTACCTGACTTCAATGCCATACCACTTCCTCAAGCCTCCTGGACATCTGGACTCAACACACAAGCCCATTACCTACTCCCAAGTAGTCTCTAGTCTGTCAAGTATCCCCCCATCCCCAGGCCAGGAATTCCCTTGAAAGCAGATCTGGGTGGACAAGAAATCTTCACTTGATGGGGAAGAAGGGAGAATGGGGTTAACATTAGTTCTGCCAAGCGTGAGTCAGTGAAGGGAGGTGTGCACCAGACTGGTATGTATGGTGAGGAGAGCCTGAGGTGGGAGGTTTCAGGAGGTGGGGATCAGGGGCTAAAAGGATCACAGGGACAAGGGCCTGGAGTCATGGAGGGTGGACTTGATTTGGAAGGTGATAGGTTTGGAGGATAGGGTCCAAGCTGTGTTTTTATAAGATCAATCTGGGAAAAAAGCAAGTCACAGACAGATCTGTATCATCTGTTTTTCTGTATCTGTTTATATCTATCTGTACCCATTTAACTACTGCTATCTACTGCTATCTATCTATTTGGGCTTCCGTGGTGGCTCAGAGATTACAGCGTCTGCCCACAATGCGGGAGACCTG